TGTACTCTACAATTCCAAACAAATCAAATATAAAAAAAAATTAAATATCAAATAATGCACACCAGCCAGTACTCTGCAATTTAAAAGAAATTAAAATAAAAATGCACACCAGTTAGTGTTACTGCTGCCAATCAAATTCTAACTACATAAGAAAAACAAACATTATATTGTCATACGCCAAAAGAGTGAGTTAAAACTTTATAAAAAAAAAAAAGTGGGTCGAAGCTTTCCAGAATATGTATGCTTTATAGAAGATGTGTCAATAAAAACATGTTTTATAAAAATGGATATTACATGGAGTGCAGTAATTTTTGAGCAAATGTTTTAAAAATGAGCAGATGTTTTGTAAAAATTCAAAATTCCCAAAGTAATATTATTTCAAAATTTTGAATTAATGGATTCTGAATTTTTATAAAACAGATGTTTTGAATTCAAAAATTAAAATCTTGAATTCAAAACCTAATGAGGTGGAGTGTAGTAATTTCACAAAAACATCATGAAAATTGAGTGCAGTAATTACATCTGCTCCATTTTTGTTCAAAATTACTCCATGTCCAAAATTACTCCATTTTTGTTCAAAACATCTGCTCAAAATTACATCTGTAAAATCAAAATTATAGATGTTTTTATAAAAAGTTTTGAATTCAAAATTACTGCACTCCATTTTTATAAAACATTTTCAAAACATCTGCTCATTATTAAAATTCAAAATTCCCAAAGCATGTTTTACTTCTTAAAAATGGATTCTGCACTCCATTTTTACTTTTTTAACCATGTTTTTATATCTCTATAATTTTTATAAATAGATGTTTTTTACTTCTTATAAAATGGAGTAATTTTGTTCAAAAACATCTGCTCTTTATAGAGATATTACATTCAGTAATATTACTTCTTATGGATTGATGCTCATTATAAAGATGCTTTGGGATAAGTAATATTTTATAAAGATTCAAAAACAGATTCAAATATTACTTTTCACCACCTTTATCTGCATAAGCAATCAACAATGAGAACAAAGAACAAAGAGAACAACGGTAATACCAGAAAACCCAACAGCACAAACCCATGAAATGGACAGCTCAAGAAAACCCAACTGTCGAAAAATGGATACCTTGATCAATGACAGTGAAATCCTTGCCATTGTACTAACTAAAGAAAAATGGATCAGAATGAGCATACCTTGATCAATGATGGTGACTACACGCCGCTGCGTAAAGATCCTGTTCTTGCATTGGCATTTTCTGCATTTCCAGGCTGTTGTTCATACTCAAGATAGGAATCTAATTTTGAACAAATACTGACTATATCCTTGCAGGGCATCTCAATCTGAGGATTACTTGAGTCATTTGTCAGTATCACTAATTTACAATTCCAGTTTATATCCGGACTTTCAGATGGATAGTCATGTAACCCAATGGGCAGGGGAATATAACTAACCACAGCTACATGTGTGTCGATGCCAGGAAAAAGTATTAAGCCTTCCTTGTATTTAATCTGGAAAAGCTTTGTGCTTTCTCCAATTAAACTAATCTTAACAACATTCAAGAGATGAGGAGTGCCATTTCTCAGCAAGAGAGCAACAACAACAGTATCACTGGAATTGCATGGCAGTAGAGTCTCAAGCGATACTGAAACAGCATCTATAAGATCATTGGCTGATTCCCCACCTAGTTCTGCTTCAAGAGGAACCACAATTGTATCTGACTTATCTTGAGAAGGCCTAAGCAACTGCATACAAAACGCAGCAGAAATTTTTCCTGCAGCGTAATAGGTGAAGTCTATCTCTATGACGGCCTCAGTGCTACCAGGACCAATAACCCAAAACAGGAAATCAAAACAAAGATGCAAAAACACCAAAAAAACATATATACATGAATACCCTAAATACATATATAAATGTATATACTTAACCAAGTACATAAAAATGTATATACTCACCACAAATTTAACAGCAAGATGAAGAACTTCACTATAAAAAACAAAACAGGGCATCAGAGCAGTGACAAAAACACACAAGCATACATATACTGATATACATAAAAGAAATAGCTCAATTTTCATCTGAGGAAGCAAATAAAACAGATTAGAGGTGACTTCAAATTGAAACCTCAAGAGTAAATGTTATATAAACAAAAAAATAAAAATTATACAAAAAAAAATTCTATAGAATGATGTGAGTGAATTTTAACCTTTTAAAACCCTTCAAGATGGGGTCTCATTGCATCATTCTAGAGAGAAATTTTGATAAATAAACATTGTAATTTTGCATTATTCTGATAATTGAGTCTCAATTATCCAGTAATGGGTATATCTATACTTAGTTACTTAGTTACAATTATACTTTTTTTCAACATAAGACTGTATATATTGGATATACCCATATTCTGATATACCCATTATTCTGATAATTGAGTCTCAATTATACATAATCAACATTGATTGATTGAAGTTATATCAGAATATTCCACAGGAAGAGAGGCCAGAGAAGAATTAAAAAAAAAAACCCTAAAACTTTGGAAGAGAGATGAATTTTACCTTGCAATCAGAAAATACCAAAGAAGAAGAGGCTGGAGAGCAGAGAGATAAAAGAACATTTAATCAGTTCAGTTTACAATTGAAAACAATTGAAAAATTAACCCTACAAATTGTTGAATTAGGAATGTGAAAACTTATCTCCATCAATGAATCTTTCTGCAACCATAACACCAAAGCATCATGATAATGAAATTGCTCCAATAAATTCAACCTAGAAAGCATCAGATGTACAAAGACAGCATGATTCAGAAAACTCAATATGAACTGAAATCAACCTCATTAGCACCAGTTGTGTCATCCACATTTCTACCCGTAATACGGATACTCTTCCCTACATAGTTCCGCCAAGTGCCTCCCCCTGGCGAGACCGATCCTCGTCGACAACAGCTGGATCGACAAACCCATCATGTGAAAGTGTAGGATTCAAATTATTCAAATTTAAACTAAAGGGACTAGAGTGACACTTCTCTTAAATTATACTATAGTGACTAATGGTCACATCATTATGTACTGATTTTCTATGGTGGTGTTTGTTTGGACTTTTTTGAGCCAACTTATGGCTTCTGGCTTTCGAAAAGTTATTTTGGACTGTTTGGTTAAACTTATTTCAAACAGCTTCTGATTCTAACAACTTATTTTAAGTCAAAAAAACTGATTCTGAGAAGCTGCTTACCCCTTATTTCTGATTATCAGCTTCTGCTGTGGACATGTTAATTTACAGTTATACTCTTAATTTTTTTTTTTTTTTTTAAATAGAAAAAGACCCAAATGGACTATAGAATATTATTATTATTTTTTATGAGAAATATAAACAAGTAGTGAATAATAAAAAATAAAAATTAATTGAAAAAGCTACTTCACAGCTTATTTAACAAACACTATTTAGCAACTTAAATCTATAATCCAACAGCTACACCAAACAGATTAACAGCTTCTGATTAAAGTCATAATTTATAATCTGTTAAGCTATAATCTATAATCTATTTTAACAGCTACACCAAACGGGGCCTATGTAGTATCTCTATGGGAAATGCTATGTATCATCTATTTTTTTGTTACCTTCTTATATCACCATGTATATGGGTTTTAATGATTGGTTGCATCTTTGGAAATAATCAATGAAGAAATGATAAATTAAATAGAGTTAATGACTAGTAACAAGTGATATATAGTGGTACTCTTTTTCCTCTCTATGCTTGAAAATGATGAGCAAATTTATCTTGGCGTCTATACAAGTTGTCCCCTCGTTCATACTTGATGCACAATGAAAGGAGGAAAAGAAAAACAACTGGAAAAGCCAAATTTGTGTTATCAAAGAAGATGGAAAGAGGGTTCCGTTGATTAACACACCTTTGCTCAAGTATTACTACAAACATAATCCTGGAGAGGTTGAAGGCTTCCTCCGGTCTCGTCAAGCTGTTCATCGTGGCGAGTTCGTGCGTTGGTGCTGTAGTGGAAAAGAGCGACGTTTCTACCTCCAGACGATGGAGGAGTGTCGTACATACCACGAAGCTTTTGTCTCAGGGAGCTAGACATTTGCTCAAAGTCTTTATAGAGAGTAAAATTCTTTCTCCCCTAATCTCTCTAATATGATATAATCCCATTTTTTTTTGTCTTTTGGCTTTACCTTGGTAATTTCTTTTAATATTGTGTCAACTTTTATTGTTTTTTACTAAAACTATAAAAAAAATCATTTTTTTTTTGGTGGAGTAACGGCACACTTAACAAAAAAAACTAATTGTTTTAATTTCAAAATCATTTAGTCTAAAGAAACTTAAAAAGTGAATTTTTGCACAATTTTTTTAAAAAGAAATACTGAAGATGGGAAAAGATCGTCTTTTGTTTAACTAAAAATAAGTAAAATCAATTTTTGTCACCAAAAAAAAAATCCTATGAGTAAGATTTTTGTAAACCAAATGTAGACTTGAGCTCCCACATTTGTTGTTTCTTAAGGAGATGGATACCAGCAAATGTGGGAGCTCGAGCCACCTCGAGCCCACATTTGCAGAGGTGGCTCTTCGTAATTGGTGAAGATCAAAATACGCAATAATTTTATATTACCAAAACCAAACTCTTTATCTAAGTCATGAATTCGCACAACAGTGGTGATTTACACCCATACTACTCCAAATATTGGGTATAGTTTACCCAAGCCTAGAAAACATGTCATGCTATAGTCAATAGTGCTGACGCCTAGAAGGCTAAGACTTAAATGGGGAACCTTAGGATCAATACCGAAGTCTTTACTGGTGAACAAAATAAAATAAAAAAATCTAAGGTCTATATACTTAAAAAGGAAAAAAAATTAGACAATTAAAAAAATTCACTACAAGTGAAAAAATGGAAAAGGAAGGTATATTTGCTTAGACTTGTAATTTGTTGTTGTAGTTGTTAGCTACTTCTATCAAACGTAGTTGTCGTACTTAGAATTGTTGTCTTGTTTAGGACTGAAGGTGATTGCTTGTCCTTATTGCAACATAACTTGTGAAAATGAAAAGAAACGACCAAGCAGCAAGGCATGTCAGAGCCCTACATCTTCCAAATTTGGGGGTTGCATGGCATGTGTTTGCGTTGGCTGCGGCATGTACAGGTCAAAGATTGCAACTGCCAAACATTCATCGATTTCATCCAAAACTTGGGATAGTAGGTCTTTGAATCATCTTAAATGGCTCTGTTTGATTGTTGAGAAAACGAGAAAGAAAATTTGAAAACCTTCAGAACATCCAAATATTCATTCTAGAATTTGAACATTTTCCTTCTCTTTGTTGTTGTCTAATAGTTGAGTTTGTTTTGTGTTTGGTTGCTAAGAAAACGAGAAGGAAAATTTGGACACCTCCAAACATTCCTTTCCAAAACTTGAACATCTTCCTTCTCTTTGTTATTGTCAAATAATTGAGTTCCTTAGTGTTTGGTTGCTAAGAAGATGAGAAAGAAAATTTGAAAACCTTTTAAAGCCTTTAGACATTCCTGTCCAGAATCTCAACATTTTCCTGTGCTTGTTGTTATCCAATAATTTAGTTCCTTAGTAGTCATGCTATAGTGTTTTTCAACTTTTGTTAATTAGAAAGAGAAATCAATAAGAAGATTCATTGTTTTCTGTCGTTTGAAATTAGTATAAAGCTCATGTTATACAATCTTATTAAAAAATTATTTGAAATAAATGTTTTGAGTAACTAGTTGTTGGAATTTACCTCAATTTTTGCTTTTTCTGAAAGTGGAAAAATTATTGGGGCAATAGTGGCCTATGTAGACCCATACTTTTCATTCTTATTGATCAACAATTTATTTTTGGACTAGTATGATAAATTTTTAGATAGTGTGTTTTGGGAAGAAAAAATTTATTACTAGTAACCAACATTCTTAATTTTTTTGCCGAAGTTCTATGAGATATTTTAAGTCAGACTTAGAGAGGAGCATTTTTCTCCATACTAGTCATTCGTGAACACTACAAAAAAAGGTAAATTTTCGAATAAAAGAGCTAAAAAAATCAAAAACACCAAATTGTTTATTGTTAGCTAAAAAAGTCAAATGTTACATCAACTTTTTTCACACAAAAAATTAGCTTGTTCAACAACTTTTCAAACATGTTACCTTTTTTTTAAGCTCTTAAAAAAGTGAAAAAAACAAAACCTCAAAGGCCCACTAAGTTTAAAGAGTTGCTAAAAAAAAGCTGTTTTTTGTGTGTAAAAATGTTGATATGACATTTGGACTTTCTAGTTGATGACAAAAAACTTAATAATTTTTTTACACTTTTAACCAAAACTAGCTTTTTTGCATGTCCCAAAATAAAGAAGAAAAAGAAGAACAGGAAAAGAACATAACAAGGATCAGGGAAAAGAGATGTCTAAGATGGTTGTTTTCTATCTATCTATCATGCTTTGATCAAGTTCTCCTAAAACATGAAGGTAAGATTGCATACTTGACCTATTTTAGCCAGATTCTCATACTTTGGGTTGCTCTATAAATATTATATGTAAAATGACAAAAGATTGATCTAAAAAAGAGGGGCACTTCTCTTTCTATAATATAGCCCGAAAAATTTACGCACACATGTAAGTGTAAAGAAAAGTGCACGTCGCATTGCTAAGAATAGCATGGATGTTAGACTGAACAAGATGAGCCAACACCAAACCAACCCGATCCAGAGGTATACATTAAACAAATTGACAATGACAATGACAAGCAACAAACAACTGCGCAAAGCTGAAAATTAAACCAGTATAAATCATATTCTAGAATCAAATTAAGGATTCTCAATTGACAATGACAATGACAAGCAACGGCATAAAAATGATAGCTCACCTCATGCCCTGGCCTAAGAAATAAAGAGAAACTGGAATTCATCTTTTCAATATGTAAAATACAATCAATACAATCATATTTCTAATACTGATCTAACTACCTGACTTAACCAAGTATGTAGGCTAACTATGGTTTAGTTAACATAACAAACTACCCAACTGTCTAACCACCACAAGTGTTGTGTTTGAGCATGTCAATTATCTTTGACAACTTCAGCAGGTCTTCTGAGCTGCGGCTGAGGCTGAAGCTGAAGCCTTGTCTTTGATCGAGACTCAATGACTGGTTCAATGGCCTTATGGTGAGATGGATTATCAAGAAAAGCAAACAATGCACATTTGATATCATGGGTACCAGAGAAAAACAGATGGTGAAGGAGCAAAATATATTAAACAGCTTATACATGCCCCCATAGAATTACAGAAACATATATTAGTACGAGGCGAACCTGTGAACGAACTATTGCAGATTCAGCACTGACAATTTCTACAAAAGCTTGGTCAAGGGCTTCACGTCCTCCCGCATCCTTGGTGTCCATAGCCTGTGGAACCACCAAAGTGCTGAAACACACATGATTGTGAAGATTAGGATTTAGACAATTGAAAACAAAGAAAGTTCTATTTCTAAATTATTTTATATACAAATTTGACGCGACTAGTCCAGCACATGCGTGATTCTTGAGCACACAGAACCAAGATCATTGTTTAACAACTGTCATTTGTTTGTGTTAGTAATGGGCGCCCATGTGGCATGACCATTTGAATTTGAATTTGAATTTGAATCTTATCCAAATAGGTTTTGAAATTGAATTCAAACCTATTTAAGATAGCCACTCAGGATACAGAAATTATCTCCATTACTGATATGGATAGATAATAATAACATATTATATATCGGGTATTATCTCCATTACTGATATGGATAGATAATAATAACATATTATATATCGGGTATATGGGTTATGGGTGATTAAGAGAGAAACAACGTATGATTTGAGTTTTACCCATATACTGACTCTCTCCCAAAGAACAACGATCAAGTCATTTGCACTGTGATTTGTGTGGGTGATATTCATTCTGTAATATCACTTCACTGCTGGGTTGGTTTATTAGATTCTGGAAGCACGTGATTTACCTACGAGGTTCTATCATCTAAAGGTATGATCTAAATATTTTATCCGCTGCATTATTTTATACTTTGATTTACATTGTTATCAGAGCTATAAATATGGGTATTTTCGTGCTTATTTTTATGCATTAAAATATGTGTATATTTTTTATATAAATATATATACATGATATATGCATGAATATTAATGGAGGAGGAAGATGAAGTGCACGGTTTTTTTTTGCATTTTACTTGGCATCCAAACAGAGGATTAGTTTAGGGTTTTGAGAAATAACTAAAGTTCTTGGGTTTAGCATAACCTCTGGGACAAAGGGATGATCATGGTGATGATGACGATGATGACGGATAAGAGAAACGGAGACTGGAGAGGTCGACTGCTCTGGAGAAAAGCCTCTATGAGCTCTGAGACTGACAGCGTGCGTAGGATAAGCAGAGTAAGCGCAGGATAAGACCATCATTTTCGCAGCAGAGTCACTGAGAGAAGCGACTGGTTAGGGCCCTTTGGGGGCACATGAAATTAAAAAGTTATTAAAAAAAAGACAACATAAAATAAGCCCTAAATCTTAAAATTTAAAAAAATTAATAAAAAAATAAACGGTTATGCTACAGACCCCTGCTGGGGTCGACCCCTACTGAGGTGGCAGCCCCTCATTTGTCCAAAACACCAAAAAAAAAAAAAAAATAGTTTTTTTTTTTAACCAATGGGAAGCCACCGTTCATGACCCCCAGTGACCCCCACTGGGGGTCTGAGGCATTTTTCAAAAATAAATCATACACATCAATTTTGTTGTCTAAGAGCATTTCCAATGTTTATTTCTTTTTTTTTTTCATCAAATTTAAATATAGATTTAAGTTAAAAATTTCATTTAATACCAAATGTTTTAACGCTAAATTTTTAATTTTATCAAATAATTAGTCGACCGAGAGGATGTCTGGGGCAATTGTCCGACCTAGTGTAAATTTTCTTCAAATTTTCTCCAATCCGGTTGTTCACTTGGTTGTTCAGCCAGTCATCTATCTAGTCGTTTACCAATGGTCACTTGCGAGATTTGATGAACGGTTAAACGTTCCCTTTATTTGATAAAAAAAAGTAGGATTGCTTTCATTTGATATTAATTTGGTAAAATGATTGGAACACCGTTTCACTAATTTTTCATCAAATTAAACTTTGATAAACGATTTGAGTCTGGGTTAGAAATGATCTAATATATTATATAGTATTTTCTAATTTTTGTTAATTAGAAGGAAACATTATTGAGAAGTTTGATTTTTTGTTGTTTGAAATTAGTATCAAATGGAATTAGATGCCTTTTTAACATTTGAAATTTTTAACGGTTAAATTTTTTCTCTATATATATGAGACTTTGGTTTCAAATTTTTTATATAAAATAGTTTATCATTATAGTTTTCATTTTGATTTGCTTCTATCAACTAATTTTAGGTGAGGACTTTTTTTTTTTTTTTTTTTTGGTTCCATTTTTAGCAATTTATAGAATAATAAATCATTTCCACTCAAATTATCTAATTATTTATGATAATCACTTAATGGTATTTTGAGAAGTTAATAAAAAAAAAAATTTGGTTAAAAAAATTAAAAAACCAAAAAGTTGGCTTTTTTTAGTTTCTTCCCAAAGTGCCCCTTAGTAATTACTGATCACATCAATGTGCGTACACCTTTACTCACTGCATAGTGTTTAACTTTAGATTTAGAAATGATATTTCAAAATTTTAAAATCGTTACCTAATAATCGAGTTCCTTTCGTATTTGATTGATGAGAAGACAATAAAAAAAATTTGAAAGAAGTTTAAAATCAATATTGATTCTCACCTATCTAAAAAAATTAGTATTAATTGGTATTAGATGTTGAATATGACTGTTACCCTTTTAAAATTTGACTTTTAAACAATAAAAACATTTCTCTATATATTCCAAAATTTTTATACAAATCAATTTATCATTACATTTTTCATTCAGATTTATTTTTACTATCTAACCTCAAGGTGTGTGTAGTATTATGTGTATCTCAATTAATATGAAATTTTAATTTTTCATAATATCAAATGCAATTAATTTACTACTTTACTTTGTATTGTAGAAGCATCACAAATTTGAATTGCACTATTACACCAAATTGTAGCCCATGCGTACTTATTATTAGGTGTCATGGGAGTTGGTTAAAAGCTGACTTTTTAATTTTTTTAACTTTTTGTGACTATTTTGTGTAAAAAAATCTGACTTTTTATGGCTTTTTTGTGTAAAAAAACTAAAAAGCCTAAAAGCTAACTTTTTTAGGAAGTTCCCAAAACACCACTACATGTTTTTAGTTTTATTTTCTATTATTGTCCGGGATTGCCAAGAATAAAACCTAACATTCTTTGAACCCTAAATCTTTTTTTGTATTTGTTTGATATCCACTACAAGAAATTTCACTTTTGGAGACTGAAATTTTGGTCGCCAAACGCCTTGTTTTTAGTCACCAATCACTTTTGCCGACTAATATATTTGGTCATCCATTTGGTCGCCAATAGTTTGTCGGGGAAACAATTGGCGACTAAAATTTTTTTGGTAGCCAAAAGTGGCCTATTAGCGACGAAAACTTTAGTCGCCATATATTTTTTTTAAATAATTAAATATTTATACTTTTACTTTTAGCGACTAAATTATTAAGTATCCAATTGAGCATGTATGTTTGGCGACTAATTATTTAGTAGTCAAAAGTTTCACTTTTTGAGAATTGGTGACTAAAAATTTAGTAGCCAAAAGTTTCTTTTTTACAATTGGCGACTAAAGTCTTAGTTGCCAAAAGCCAACTTGTGATATTTGTTTAGTCACCAAAAGGTCTTATTTAGTTTTTATAATTTGTTTTGTAATATTTTTTGCGTCATCTATAGCTTGTGCATATATAAAATTATTCATCAATTCATTCAATTCTCAACCATTCAATAAAAATATTTCTCCACAACCTGTACCACTCAATTTTCAACCACAAACAAAACTTAACTATCAACCGTACATATCAAAGAAAATAAGAGTTCATAAACATAGTATAATCTAACAAATACATATACTATCCAAACCAGCAATTAAAATCCAAATTAAAAAATTTTTTAATAACAAAACATATCAAGGTCTCCATCAATCCAAAGAAAGGCCCTTGATATCTGTTGGGTTGGTGGTGATGATGTTGGGGATGGCTGAGGTGGACTTAAGGTCCTTCCATATTGAGTCATTCTTTCCAAAAAGTTGCAAGAATGGTCTTTGCCACAAGGAAAAGGCCCTTGATATCTGTTGGGTTGGTGGTGATGATGTTGGCGATGGCAGTGGTGGACTTGAGGTCCTTCCATACTAATCCATTCTTCGCAAAAAATTAAAGGAATGATCTTCACCACGAGGAAAAGCGTTTGATATTTGTTCAGTTGGTGGTGATGAACTTGGAGATGGAGGTGGTGGATTTGACGATCTTTCATAATTAGTCTTTCTTGCAAAGTTGGAGGAATGCTCTTTGTTGCAAGGAGAGGCGCATTTTATCTTGTGGCTTCGTGATGATGATGCTAGAGACACTGTTGTTGGGCTGAAGGTCCTTCCACAATTGTTCTTCATTAATTTGTCACGTGGATGTTCATGTTATACATCACAACGATAATGACAGTTTAGAAAATAAATTGAAACTGCTAAAATAATTAAAGTTATTAATTTAAGATTGTAAGATGACTTCAAACTTTCAACTGTACTTCAAGCATTTGTAAAAGTATTCTAACTTTGTAAGAACTCATGAAAGAAAATTCATAGTTGAATGATATGTACTCTGAGCAAAGTATTTGATTAAATAAAAAGAGAAATGCTACTAAAGCAAGCATTGAACTAGTGAAGAGTGTATAGTTACAACTTGTTCTGAAACATGTGCTTGCCAAGTGACTGATTACAAAACAATTGACTGACTGAAAAAAGAATCATTATGGTTAAGTATAGGTATATTACCTGATATAGTTCTTGCTTGGGTTCCTAGCAAAGTAAAGAGAAATATGAGAAAAAAAAAATTTAGCATGAGAATCTTCATCTTCCTCTCTGCATTTGCCACAATGAAGATAACTCACTGAAGTGTATTAATTTATAGATGCAAAAAGGTGCTTGTAAGTACTAAAATATAAATTATGAGCATTGAAGCCTCATTTCTTTACTATTTTATAGACAATTGTTGTTTTAACTTTTATGGTTTATTATATTAAAAATTGTTGGATTGATCATATAGCCTCTGAGGCATGATTTAGATCCTCTTCATTATAATACATAAGGTTATGACATGTCATTAAAATTCAAAAGTATGATCCAAAAGTAACTATGCAGTAATTATAGCAAAGTAGCATCCGATGTAAATGAACCATTCTTTCCTGGATAAGTTCTAGACTGGTTTTGATTGCTAATGCAATGGAAAAAATAGAGATCCACAAACATCGTGTATATAATGCATTCTCCAATTACTTGGTGTCTTACTACATTTTAATCTTTATTGCCATATCATTTCATATGTTAGAAGTTGTCCATTGTATACTCTATGTTGGCCATGCAAATTATGTAATCAAATTAAAAATATTTCAAGACATATTATGGGTGCACCAAGTGTTTGAATTGTTACTGTAGATATTCACCACACATATCCAAGAGAGAACACTAAGTGTTTGCATAGTGTTGTCAAATTGTCCGAAATTTTTATTTCATTTTTTAATCAGGATATGTTGAAGAAGTGTCGGGCACGTTTCTAGGAGTGTCTAAGAAGTATCGATGTCCGACACATGTAGGACAAGAACAGTGCTCTTCCCTAGAAGTGTTTGTGCCACTTAGATTCAAATAATAGCTTAGTTACAAGACTGAATAGGACTACATGGTGTAACTAAAAGAGCAACAAGACAAACAACGACTCTGCTTCATTTCATCATGCATAAGATAGACCTCTTCAACTCGACCATAAGGTGAAAAAACCTGACAAAAGGAAGAATCAGTTGTCAGCAATAAACTTTAATTAGTTTGAGCAAAGTGGATTATAATAAATGTAAGACATTTATATACACATGCATGCACACAGTATGAGTGACAACGTATATGAAGAATAAGCTGAAGTTTCTTAATTTTTAGGCCACCAAGGAGGGTAGGGAATTTAAAGGGAGAAGAATGGCAAGATGAATGCTATTATGCTAATGTCACAAAAATATAGGCATAACTAAAGCAAACATGTGAATACAAGTGAAACAAGTGGATACTCCATATTGAATAGAGTTCATTATATTCTAGGTAAATTATACTACAGTAGGTCCGGCATTTTTACTAAAATTTAATTAACAGAAGTAATTACAACCAACAATTGATTTTGCTCAAATTCTACAATTATGTTATGAGGATTAATAACAACATTCTACAAAATAACAAAATTTAAGCAGATAATCCTAGAAAAAACAAAAATAAATTCATTCTACAACCAACAATAAAGCATGCAATCAACTTAATTACTAAACCAACAAACCAGTCCTCAAAACCTCTCTATGACATTTTTACATACACTTGGTGTGCATAAATCAAAAAGACTAGTTTGCTCACCAACATAGGAAAACAGACCAACCCATTTTCACAAACATTGGCACATGAGACATGAATGAATGACATATCTCTCTTGCAACCCACTGAAAGTTGTATAAATAGGATGCTAACTTAGATGACTTCAATTCTCAAAAAAAAGAACATCCAAAATCTCAAAAATCCAAATTTCTTTCATTGTTTTTGGGACATTTGAACAAGGGTCCCTCATAATGATAATTGTTTTTGCGAATTTGAGAGAGAGAGAGAGAGAGAGAGAGAGAGAGAGAGAGAGAGAGCTTCCACTCGGAGAAAACAGAGTCATGTTTGGTGCGTTTATAGTCTTCCCTCTTCACGATGGCAATGGTGGAGGAGGAGGGGGAAGAGGAGGAGGTGCTTCGGTTGCCCGCGAACGCGAGGAGAAGTAGCGGTGAGAAAGGAAGGGGAGAGGAGTAGCGGAGAGAGAGAGAGAGAGAGAGGAAGAGGGAGATGGAGAAAAATGCTGAAAATAGAGAGATAGAGAGAGAGTTGTTGGTCTGTTACGGTTTTGGGTTGGAAAAAAAATACATATATAATTAATAACAATTTGCGACTAAATATTTTAGTCGCTAATTACTTTTTTAATCCCTCCAAAATTTGAAAAATCCCTCCAAATATTTTAGTTTTTTGGCAACTAAAATATTCTTTTGTCACTGAAAATATACTTTTGGCGACCAAATTTGGTCGCCAAAGATTAAAAATAATTTTTTTCTTTTCATTCGGCTACTAAACAATTTTAGTAGCTAAAACTAACTATATGGCTACTAAAATATTCTTTTGTCGCTACAAATATACTTTTGGTGACCAAATTTGGTTGTCAAAGATAAAAAAAATAATTTTTTTCTTTTCATTCAGCTACTAAACAATTTTAATAGCTAAAACTAACTATACGACTACTAAAATATTCTTTTGTCGCTGAAAATATACATTTGGCGACCAAACTTTTGGTCACCAAATATAAAAAATATATATATTTTTTTTCATTCAACTACTAAATAGTTTTAGTAGCTAAAACTAGCTATACGGCTATTAAATTTTTTTTTAGTTGCCAATTATGATATTTTTAGTGACTAAATTTTTTTTTTAGTCCCCAATAATCAATATTCCCCGACTAAAAAAAAAAATTAGTAGCTAAATATTTGACTTTTGTGACTAATATTATTTTTGGGCGCCAATTCCACAACTACTAAAGTTTTTTTAGTCGCCAAAAGTGCATTTTGTTGTAGTGATCCTTTGCTTTTTATTTTCTTAATTTATTTTAAACAAAGCTCGTGCATTTTTTTTAGATGGTCAACTTGTGCATTTTGATTTGTTCTTAACGAATATATTTAAGTATATTTGTGAGACATAAAATGTTTCTTTTTTGGATTCAATTCCTATTTTTGTATTTATATCTTACATAATTCACTTGATGCTAACATTAGTTTTACTTTTTTATTTTTGTAATATGAAAATATTTTTTGTTATTAGTATTATACTGTTGGTTCGATATTGTGAAGAGAAATGGATATGGTCGCATATGGTGACGGTGCAACCATATTTAGGAATGAAGAATTGAGAGACATAAGTGAGGTTAAAAAAGGGTCAAAGTTTATTGAAGTTAAGTGTGTATTGAAGGAAAATTTGAGATCAACTGTGACTATCTTTCTGACTGTCAATAAGAAGGCAAGTGAAATTAAAAATAAAAATATTTTCCATTCAAATTTATTTCTACCATCTAATTTTTAGGTGAGTGTTTCTAAAATCTAACAAATTAGGTGAGGCAATTTTTTTTTTTTTACAAATTAAAGAAAAAATTGTTCTACTCAAATTCTAATTACTTAAGACATTCAGTCAATAAATATTGATCACGTACAATACACGTGTATCTTTGCTTATTTCATATGAAGTGTTCAACTTAAATTTAGAAATTAAATTTCAAAATTTTAATATTATTGTCTAATAATTGAATTCCTTTTGTATTTGGTTGCTGAGAAGACCATAAAAGAAATTGAAATCTTTTCAAAATCTCCAAACATTCATTTTTAGAACTCAAACATTTTCTTTTTATTTCTTGTTGTGTAATAATAACATTTTCCAACTTTTGTTAATTAGAAAGAAACATTAATGAGAAGTTTCGTTTTCCATTTTTGAAATTAGTAATAATTGGTATAACCGTTGACTATAACCGTTACCCTTTTGAAATTTAAATTTCTAATAGTTAAATTTTTTCTCTATATATTTTGTGACTTTCATTCTTAAATTTTTATACAAAACAATTTATCATTTCATTTTCCATATAGATTTATCTCTACCATCTAACCTTAAGGTGAGCGTAGTATTATGCATGTCGTAGTTGATGTTACTTCAGACTCTTTATTATTTTTATTTTTTGACAAACTCGAATTGTAATCTCTTAAAAGTTTTTATTTTTATTTTTTTATTGTTGTCACGTATCTTGTTGCTCTTGTAACGCCCTCAAAATAATGACATTAAACCCAACAATATAAACCTACATTTATATATAGAAGATACACATTCTTCAATTCATCAGACTAATTCATTACAAAAGTATTACATTTTAACAACAAAAGCAAATGCCCTACGGGCTTACAGCTTTCCAAGTTAACACTTGGTTACAAAAAAGAGTACTAACTCAACTACACATTAAGCCCTTGGCTTGAATTTACACGTAATACATCCAAAGAGAAAATGACAGA